CGTGGGGGGGGGGGGGGGGGGGAGAGAGAAAGAGAGGTGGGAGATATTGTTTAAATTAGAGCTGAAAAATGAATTAAAAAGCTTTCGAGGAAAGCCGTGAGACACAAATATATATAAAGGCTAATTAATTTGATTAGTGTACTTTCAAGGAAAGCCTTGCTTTTGAGAAAAGTTGTCTCAAGAACTGTCGAGGGGGATGAGTCTAAGCCCGCAAGGGAGTCACCTAGGGAGGTAACTCAACTTCTGTGATTGAGGATCCCATGAAGGAAGTTCAATGGATAGAAACAATTTTATATTGCGTGACTCATTAACACCGTTGATGAGAAAATATCCTAAGAGGAGATATTTTTATATTCATCCCTATGGCAGAGGTGCATATGTAGTGTGACAGTAAGGAAGGGTTTTACCCTGAATGAGACCGAGGCAGGAACACTCTTGCAGGGTATTGTGCACATATACCCTTGGAGGGCTCACCTAAGTGAGAGTAGTCGCGAAGCCGCGACTATGAGAATTGAGCTATTTCTCTAGAAGCTCTCATGAGAATCAAGATCAAGTGCAAGGTTATTAATAGCACTGACCCGCGAATCTTGACCAATATCAATAATGTGTGTGTGACATGTTGAACTCTGGTTCAAAGGATCTAGTTCAAGCCTTTGGTCACTATGATTCTTCAGAGGAAAACTATCAATACTAAGTGGGGTTCAAGTCCGAAAGACATCTACACCTATTGCACAGTATAATAGTTGTCCATATTTTCTATATTAAAGTATATACAAAATATTTGAGATGCATTGAAGTTTTAAAAACTTGTGGGGAATTGTAAGAATTAAATTAAGTTTTTAAAATTTTTCATTGAATATCCACTTTAATTGAGTTTAAATAGTTTCAGTTACATATTTTTTAATTGAGTTTTGAATTTTCAGTTACATATTTTTATCTAATTTATTGTGTATATTAAAGAATAAAAATTAATCATATTAAAAATAGTTTTAAAGGCTATGTGTGTAAGTTACTAACCTAATGGATATATAAGTGACTTTGAGATAGCTTTTTGCTTGACAACGAAATAAACACTCTAGAGACTTTCCAATTACTTATTTCAATTTTTTTACACTTGACCTACTTTTTCAATTATCATCTATTAGCTTACTTTTTGGGCAACTTCAATTCGAGTCAGATTCACTCCTTCCTTCCAGTGGGCGTGACTATAGAGGAGGTGCTACTACAAGTGTCCTCACGGGGGAGGCTCAGTTGTTTTAAGACAGTGTTCACACGACTCTCAGACTCGCAAGTCAGCTCTTTCTAAATTATAGTATCTATTTTATTATATTCTAAATTGATTGTTATTTTATGTTTATTTGTATATTCTTGTCTGAATATTATTTTGTTAAGTAAAATTATGTATAATTATGCTAATTTCCCCAATAGAAGGAAGAGATAGAAAAGGGAGATTGATGCAAGGTGTGTAGTGACAGTGGTGGGGACATGGAGGAAGGCAGAGTAAGGATTGGAGCCATGGATGGAGGGGGAGAGAGAGAGATGAGGTGTAGAGGGCGTTGGAGTACTGGTTGAGCTGAAAAGGGAGAGAGAGAGAGAGAGAGGTGGGAGATATTGTTTAAATTAGAGTTTGCATTTAAGTTTGGTTTGAGGGTTTGGTTTCGGGTGTGGATTTGTTAAGTTGGGATTGATTGTGTTAATTTTCTTAATTTTAATTAATTTCAGCAAAATTTTTTAATTTTTCATTGTTCATATTCTGTTATAGAATTATAAATAAAAATTGTATGTTCCAAAAATTCGTTATTTTAACTATAAGAAAAAAAAATTTAAAAAAATACTTAAAGTTAAGTACTTAATACACTCTGTAATCAATTTCATTAAACTTAATTTTTCATTACTCATATTCTATTATAGGATTACCACAACTTACAATCATATACAGAAAAACTTTAAATTGACAGATCTTAATTTTTCATTGCTCATAAAATATTCTATCATGGGGCAAGTGAGAACTGAGACAGAGCAATGGTCCCAAATGCAAGCAATGTTGGGGCAAGTGAGAGAGGAGATGGAGATGGAAGAAGTGCATGCTTCTCGTGATTTTTGGGAAAATCAAGCATTAGATTGCAATTATGAAATCATGTTTCATTAGGTAACACTCCACAGGTTTCTTAATTTGGGCGACCTGCTATGCTCGGTAAATTCTTTTGGATTTGTTGGTTTCTTATACCATGTTGGGCTTTGTTAGGTGCAAGAATGGAGACAGAAAGCTCTCACATTTGAAACCAAGGCCAACGAGCTGCAAACAGAAATATCTGCAATTAAGGGGGAGCTCGAAAAATTGAGGATGGTGGAAAACAAGGAAGCAACGACAACCACAGATTTGCCTCTGGTTTCCCTAGGCAAAGAACGTGAAAAAGAGAAGCATGTACTGCATTGTGACTTGAAGGAAAATCATCACACTAATGACAAAGAAAGCAAGAAGAAGATTGCCAACCAAAAGTCGAGGGTCGAACAAACCAGGGAAATACTGACAACTAGAAATTTGCCACCAATCTCCCTTGGCAAACAGATTGAAAAGGAGAAGCGTATACTGATTCTTCGCTTCAAAACAGGAATGCTTTTCAAACATTGGATGGAGAGAGAGAGAGAGAGAGAGTGAGAGTGCACAAATGCCTCATACCAAGTAAAAAAACCAGGAGGCTTGTAACATTTTCATTATATCAACTGTATGAGTACTTGGTCGAGAAACTGCTTACATTGCCACTCAAAGTCATGTACTGAATATTAATGTAAGATTTATTTAATTATTAATTTTCATTGATGTTATTATTGTGTTTTATATTTGGGTTGTTACTATCCGTTGGGCATTTAAAACCCATAATGGTTGTATGAACCCGCTGCCTATATAAGGTCACTGGTGTGGTGGTGATCTTCTGAAAAAACACATGTAACAATTAACATATTGCTCTTTCACAAATAGCCCCACAAGTTTTAGAGTCTTTGTTTATACACACTTACAAATCTCACATTTGATTATTTTTTTCATCCTTCATCTTATGTACCATTTTTCTTATAACTCAATATACCTATTTTATATACATATTATTCTTGAGTTTTGGAAAATTTCGATAGTGTCGGGTTCACCCCACTCTTCCAGTGGACGTGACCCCTAAGGAGTTGCTATTATGATAGTTGGATTTTGGAGCTGTATATGTCTATTAATGCTTTCATGTGGAGAGACGTAACTGATTATTGGGGAAAATAGCATAATTTTATGATATTAATTAATGAGTCACTTATAAAAAACTTAAAACAACAAGAATACCAATCAAATATATGATACTATAGCAAGTGATTAAGATTGTATAAAATACACAATAATAAATTAGAAAAAGCTTGCATGTTTATCCTCCACACGAAAAAGTAAATTCTGACAATGATTTTTACTTTTTAGAGCTAGGTGTTTGACTGTAGTATCGAAAAAAAAAAATTGAGATTGTGTCAGTTATCGCTTCGCTTCTTGAATACTTATATCAGTTTTTGGGTGTAGCCTACCAATTTTTGGGGTGCACTTATATTTTGGGTTTTCTTAACGCAATATTGAAAAGTGAAAAAGTGGTATCATAGCCAGACCTTTTTTCCTTGAGAGTATTGTTATAAGTTTCTGCCAAAAATTGCATTGCAATTGCTTTGACAGGAGGCCATTTGTCAAGTATTTTCTCTGCCTTTTTATTCTAAGGTGATCTCAAGACATGCAAGCATTATGACCATGTTTGGTTTGTGTTTCAAAAAAAATATTCGAAAATTATATTTGAGAAAATTAAAAAAAACTGTTTTTAGTGTTTTTTGTATTGCAAAACTTGTTTAGTTATATGATTCTAAAAACAGTTCTATAGAATAAAAAATAATAAAATTTGCTTGAACAAAAACCTAGAAAATAATGAAAATATGAAAAATGTGGCGGTGGGAGTGTGGTGATCAAGATGGTGGTGGAAGTATGGGGGTGGTTTTATTTTTTAAATTCTAAAAAAATAATTTCTAAAAACACACAAAACAGTTCTAACTTGTTCTCTAAATTTATTCAGTTTTTGTTCTCAATTTTAAAAAAACAACTGACCAAACATCTTTTCTCCCAAAAATTATTTTCGAAAACAAAAATAATTTCTGATATGCAAATCAAATATATCTCCCAGATTTGTGCCCGAGTGTTGCTTTGCCCTCAAACGAGCTCCCTTGTGTTCTCTTCATTGCAACTTTACGAGAAAGAAGAATAACCATGAGTTCATTTCATGCTAGCAAATAGGAAAAGATTGGGGATAATTACATCCACCTTCACCAAAGTTTTTCCAAATATCAACAAGACCCCCTTCTATATGGATAATAACATTGACCACAATGCTAGAATTTATTGCTGATCTGATGACTACAATGCATTGAAACTTAATTTGGGGATTTAATAAATTGTGGTATTTGGAAGAGCTATGAGTCTCAACATTGAATAAAATACACTATAAATAAAATGGTTATATTCATGTTTTAAATACCTAAATGAAATACAATAGTGTTACTAGCGACAATTAGATTAAGAATTGGATACGGTCCACTAATTGTGTCATCAAATGCTATAGTTGTTTTACTAAGTTCAGAAGACCTATGCCTGCTACAAATTCAGAAGATGAAAAGAAGATAAAGTCAATCCAACCATATTTGTAATACAAAGTACTAAAATATTTTATCTAACACAATTTCAACATGTAATAATTTAGCATTGTGTATGACCATTTCTAGATGCGTGAATGCCATCCTTCCAGGGGCATGTGTGTGTGACTAGACTATCAAAATTTTATGTGATGAAAAACCAGTTGAATAAAATAATAGACAAATGCTCAATAATAAAAGGAGTGTACAGATATGTAATGCTACTCGAACCCTCAAAAAATAAGTCTTTGCATTGAAAAACTAATGAAATACTGAAACACCCTGAGAATTAAGCTAATTACTACTAAGCTACAACTAGTTGGGCATCTAAGGGTTACTTGGAGGGTTGTTTGGAGGATTGTTTGGGGCCATGTTGTGTACAACATAATCCAAATTCATAGGAGGCTCAGTATAAGTCATATTGGAAAAACCAAACTGTGAAGATATTTCGCCATTATCAATATTTGGAATGCTCCAAATGTCGTCTTGAAATCCTTTTAGCTTGGAGACACAAGCATCTTCTTTGAGATATTTGGGCATGGAAGTGTTCTCTGTGGGATACACAGGAAGGCCAAAATAAGTTGGCTGTGGTCCATAATTGTAACTAGGCTGAAGATGACCATTGAACTCGACCATGTTTGAGAGAGAAGCATCCATAAAATGAGGAATTTCGGTAAGAACATTTTGCAGAGGAGATTGCTCATCGTTGTCATACATGTTGATAAATCCATTCATGTCATTGTAATCGTAAGTCAATCCCTCGAGATGGCTGTTGTTGACAGAATTTCCATCTACCAACTCTTTGGCATATCCAACAAGCTCACCTTCACGATCTCGTTTTCGATTTTTGGGGGATGTATCAGCTTTCTTATAGATCCTACATAAAACCCAATCATCAAGCTGCAAGATCAAGAATAAAACACTAAGAATTAGTAAGAATGATTAAATGAAACAAGGCCATGAGGAATTGTGAAAGTGAAATAGAATTTTACCCTCATGCTATTTCCACCACTTCTTTTCCTAGGAGGCTCATCTACTCTATATTCATGCATGATCCAATTAGTCTTGTTCCCCTTAGGAGGTCTTCCTTCATAGAAAACCAATGCCTTCCTATATCCAACTGTGACACCCTTACATTTCACGAGCTTATCAGCTCCAGTGGCCTTCCAATAACCATCACCGGCTTTTCGATCTGGTCGGCTTCCATTTCGATACTTTCGGTCCCTTGGAGTGAAGAAGTACCATTCTTTTTCACCTAATACCTCGTATTTCTCTGTAAATAAAATGACAACACCAAACAAAATAAAAGAAAGTTTAAAAATATGGAAAAAGGAAGGGTTGAAAAGGAATAATAGCTTTGCGTTGAAAATAATCACATGAAGACAATGTGTATGGTTGGACAGGCTAGCCATTGTATGAGATGATCACACTTGTTTGTGACCCATGCATATAGACAAGGGTCGCAACGGTTTGAATTCAACCCTCTCCTAGTAAAAATTAGTCTATTTTTTTCGATAAGTAGATGAAATTTCATAAATCAAAAGGGAAAACTTGTACAAGGTGAATTGGTGATTTAAGAGATGGGTGATCTTCTAGACGGTTGGACAAAAGAATCACCATCCCATTACAAAAGAAACAAAAGATTTCAAGAAAGGAGCAAACAAAAAACCTATTGATATTTTTTCATTGGAAAAGTATGTCCTATTAATATTTAATGACGGAGATTATTTCAAATTATTTAAAATAAAAGATTTAATAAAAAAATTTGGTATATAAAGCATTTTCCAAATATATAATACCGTGGTCTTCATCTCAGACTCTCCACAGCCAAACAAAAACGTTAACTTCCAGACTCTCTCTCACACACACATACACACAAATTTTTTTTTCTGGTCAATCACACAAATTGTAGAGTAGTGGAATTCCCGGTTCCCTATCTCTCTCTATATAAAACCGACGTTTCTGTATTTTCAGAGTACAAGTTCCAAATCACTTTGGTGTCAAAAAAATCCTAATGCTATTCGTCTAGTTGAACAAAATTATCTCATATGAGTCAAAAAGTACCAAAAGAAAACTAACCCAAAATTAAGGGAAACCCGACAAAATACCAAGTTTCAGAAGGTTAAAAAAACAAAAACAAGTGAAGGGATAGAAAACAAACCAGCAAGTCCTTGGGGATTATGATCGGACAGGTTGATCTCCTTTATCTTGTTATGTGGAAGCGATTTGTTCATAACCTTTCTCGCCAGGTAGTGAACAATAAGCTCATCATCGTACGGACAAAACCGATATCCAGGTGGGAGTCCGAAAGAATCAACATCAACATAGTCTTGGTTAGTACTGATGCTACAATAATTTCCTTTGGTATTTCCATGGTTTGGTACAATGGATAAACCTTCACATTGTTCTTGTTGAGTTATAGGGGTTTGATGGTTCTGAGTTTTGACAGAGGCCTCCACGTTCGGCTGGGTTTTCTCATCGCCCTCCATAGTTGTGGACTTAGAGAATACCGTGGACTCTTCAGGTTGAATTGAAGAGTTCTACTTGGATACAAAGAATGAATGAGGCAGTCTGTTTTGAGAGAGAGATTGTTTTTAAAGAAAAATAAATTGGAGATATATCAAAATCGATAATCAGTTAACCGACTGAAAGTTATCAAAACGAACTATTAAATTGATTGGGCAAATGGCACTTTGCCCCCTGGAAGATTGAAAAATTTTCAATTTGCACCACAAATGATTAATTATTCCAAATTGCACCCTCAATGTTAATATTTGGTGACATTTTTATAATAATAATTTGAGTCCATGATTCAATTCATAACATTAGAAATCTAAAAATCATAAGTTGAAAAAATAAAAAGTACTCAAAAGTTAATTCATATTTATCCTTATTTTCTCTCTCTGTATGTGTAAAAATTAGTATATAACATAAACTATCTTTCTGATAAAAAAACAAAAATAAAAGTTAAAATATTTTTTTCAGTAACACTAGCACGTCCTTCTTTGTCCTCTCTCTTATAATAAATTAGAAATAAATTAATTTTTTCAAAAAAATAATATTACAAATAAAAAAGACCTCATTTAGTATTTTCACTTTAGGCCTCCAATTATCTCAAGCCACCCCTGATCTTTAGTGTGTCTGTGTATATGAAATCCTTACTAATTTCAGGTCGGATGAACAATCTTATTTTTTGATGTCAGAATTTTCAGAGTCAACAGGAGCAGTCCAGAGCTGAATAGAGGTCAGCTAGTTCTTCTTAACTCTTAGAGAGCGAGAGAGATGAACTATCCATCATTTAATCTGGCGCCACAACTCCATCGATTGGGTCTGTGTGTTTTTACAAAGGGGAATTGGGTCTATGTGTTTTACTTGATTGTCTTTCAAGTTATCATGTGCATCTCACGTGATAACTTGGGTTAACAACAAGTTTGACGTCCGTCAATCTGGGGGCCATATTGTCACCAAATATTAACATTGAGGGTACAATGTTAAACAATCAATCTTTTGTGGTGTAAATTAAATTTTTTTCAATCTTTCAGGGGGCAAAGTGCCATTTGCCCAAATGATAATCAACATTTAGCCTTCCTAGATACGGGTGATTACGAGTGTCCAGGTAGAAATTTGGTATTTCATCTTTCAACTCAACATTTTGAGAAAAAAAAAATTTTAGTCAATTATATCCGATCAAGTATACTATTCCTATCTGAATTCTGTCCAAAACAATCAAGTAGGAAATTGGGTGAATACATAATTTTTAGTTATTAATTTTTGAATTATTTTAATAATTCAATTAAATAACTTACACTTAATAGCCAACACAATAAACAAATAACATCAAAGAAAACGCAATGAATTTGATAATACATAAATAATCTATATCTATATTTATACTACGTATAACTCTCTATCTATATCTATATCTATATCTATACTATTTATAAATGTCAGCATGTGTGAAAAACTTTTGATTTCTTATTTCACCTTTAATTATTAACATAAAATCAATTATACGCACATATTTTCCAATCTTCTATACCTATTTGACTTCCAAAAAATTAGCTAGATAAACTTTATCAAAATATTACCTAGATATGACTTGGTAGATAAACTTTATCTCTAAATTCTTTCTTTTTCATTCAATTCTACAAACGTTATTAGAATTCTAATACCACATATTGGCAATTTTTAATTCTTATTTGACTTTCAAAATATTAGCTAGATAAAGTTTATTAAAATATTACCCAGATATATTCATCAAAATATTATATAGATAAACTTTATCTCTAAATTCTTTCTTTTCCATTTAATTCTATAAACTCTACTAGAATTGCTCGGTAGTCTTTTGATTTCGAAGTCGGTGGATTCGAGTTTATCTCACAAGAATGCTTTGCAAAGGTGTATCGAGCATGCAAAGCTTTGGCTTTTGAAGTCTGATCAGCCGTTGAAGCAAATTCAGTCATTACTTGTATGAATTAGTTCTTCTAATTTGTCAATTCGCAAATTTGGGGTTTTCCTTATGTTCTTTAATTGATGGTTTATTTTGTAGATTCTGGGTTGAGAGATCTTGAAAGATTTTCAAGTTAGCTACAAAAAAAGAACCGGAAGAGCTTGTCCAATTAATTTCAATGCAAAAGCCAAGAGTTAATGCAAAGGTCAGTGTATCAATTATCATTGAAACAAATTTAGCCATTACCTATATGAATTAGTTCTTCCAATTTGTCAATTTGCAAATTTGGGAATTTCTTTATGTTCTTTAATTGATGGTTTATTTTGTAGATTTTGGGTTAAGCTACAAAAAAAGAACTGGAAGAGCTTGTCCAATTAATTTCAATGCGAAAGCCAAGAGTTAATGTAAAGGTCAATGTATCAATTACTATTATATCATATATTTGTTTTGAAGTATTTTGTATGGTTCTTTGCATGTTCAACTATTTTCTAGTATTATGTTTCTAAATCATAGTACATTACTTTTTACATGAAAAAAATATACCTTTAATGGGTTGGAGTATTGTTGAACCAATACAATGCAAACCAGGTTTTTACTGAATTGATAGTTTATCAATTCCTATGTTTTAATTTATTAATTTTAATGTTCTGTGACACTTAATTTTTCTTAATTTAATGTCAAACAGCTTTCTAAGAAATTGGTGTGGCAAATCAAGTATTCGGGATAATTGAGATTATTTATTAATTTTTATGTTTTAGTTTATTAAATTAGTGTCGCAAGTCAAGTATTCGACATAATTGAGGTTAGTATATTAATTTCTATGTTTTAATTTATTAATTATCTATCTTTAGTGTGTTTGTGTATATGAAATCCTTACTGATTTTAGGTTCGATGAACGGTCTTGTTTTTTGATGTTAGAATTTTCAAAGTCAACAGGAGCGGTCCAGAGCTAAACAAAGCTCATCCAGTTCTTCTTATCATCGGAATCACTTGACTCTTCTACCCCTCCATCTTCTTTCGAATTACCCTTCAATGGCTCTGTCACTGGCTGAACATTTGCTTCCATACAGTGCATTGTCTCCTCCTTCAATCTCACAATTGTTGTAGACCCAAAAACAGATATCGAAAAAAAAAAAATTCAAAAACAAATTTTACAAAAATTTAATTATACCTAATGTGAGATAGAGAGATGAACTGACCATCGTTAAATTTGGTGTCACAGCTCCATCGATTGGGTCTTTGTGTTATTACAAAGCCGAATTGGGTTTGTGTGTTTTTACATGATTGTCCTTCACATTATCACATGCATCCCACGTGATAGCTTGGGTTAACAGAAAGTTTGACGTTCGTCAGTCTTGGGGCCACATTGTCGCCAAATATTAACATTGAGAGTGTAATTTGAAACAATCAATCTTTTGTGGTATAAATTAAAATTTTTTCAATCTTTTAGGGGGCAAAGTGTCATTTACCAAAATAATTATCATCGTTTAGCATTACGGGTGATTACGAGTGTCTATAACTGGGTAGAAATTATGATATTTTATCTTTCTACTCAATATTTTGAGAAAAAACATTTTCTTAGCCGATTCTATCAGATCAAGTGTACTATTCCTACCCGAATTCCGTTCAAAACAATCAAGTAGGAAGTGGGGTAGGAAAATGGGTGAACACATATTTTTTAGTTATTAATTTTTGAATTATTTTAATAATTCAATTAATTAACTTGCACTTATTAGCCAACACAATAAACAAATAACACTAAAGAAAACACAATGAATTTGATAATACATAAAAAATTTATATCTATATGTATATGTATATCTATGTCTATCTATATCTATACTATTTATAAATGTTAGCATGTGTGAAAAATTTTTGATTTCCTATTTCACTCTTAATTATTACCATAAAGTCAATTATACCCACATATTTTTCCGTCTTTCATACCTCTTTGACTTCCAAAATATTAACTAGATAAACTTTATCAAAATATTA